TCCTCCTCCCTAAACCATTATCTTCTGATATGTTTCTCACTGTTGGGTTATTAAAAAGGCTATTCTGGAGCTAGCCCACAATACGTATTTGCTTTCTCCTAACTCCAGACCATTTCTGGAACAAAGATGGCTTCCATTTCTTGTCACCTGATCTTTTACGTTGTTTGAGACTTAAAGCTATACTAACAGTCCGTTTAAGCTAGCTGAAAATGTGGTGTTTTCCTCCCCTCTTGGGAGAGTCCACTCTTCTACTCTTCTGAGGTGAAAATATGATCACAGTGGCTGAACTTTAAACAAGAAAACAGTCTACCTGACTTCATTGGGATGACTTGTTGGATTACGTTAAGCATGTGCATCAGCCTCTGCAGCGTCGGACTGTTGTCCTGCGCTCCAGCTAGTCCTGTTCGAACCCATACCACCTATCCCACCTCCTCTGCAGCAGGTTTGCCAGTCACAAGTGGTGGTAAAGGTGGGCTGTCTAATGAGCTTCTCTGTAATGCAACGGTCCTCAACCCAGTGTCCCCGAATCGAGCTCTCCGCTGACATAGCAGCTGGAGCTGCCCTGACAGGAATTACTTGTAAGCAAGCGACACGGCACCTGGTGCAGTTGTTCATTATTGATGTTCAGCCCAAATATTTGATGACCTGCGGGGGATCAGAGCATTGTAAAGCAGTTCCCTCCCCCTGTTGGGATTGCAAGCTCAGACTCAGTGGTGCAGAGTAATTGAGGCCAGGGTTGTGTCTTGTGCTGGCATTTCACTGAGGCATGTTAGTGTAACACTGTTTTTGCTGACCTGCCGGCGCCAAGGCAGCTTGGACATGTGTGGTTGCCACTGGTGAGGAAGTCTGAGTTGAGTTCCTGGCATGCAGGAGGCAGGAAAAAACAAGGCAGTGACATGGGTGTTGGTGTGTTAGGAGAGCAATGTCTCGAGGAGCCTCTTGCTCTGTTGAGAGGCCAGCTCTCCTTTGAGAATGTGGCTAAACTGCTTGAGCCTGGGGAGTATAGTAGGAGAGTTACGGTAATGTTGGACATCCTGCGTTGGCTCGAAAGTATGGAAGTATTGGCGGTAAATTGGAGATCATGGTACTTGGTGACCACAGGCAGCGCACACCCTCAGGTTAACAGATCACCGTGTCCTGACACGTTCTGATTCTAGTTTAGGCTCCGTTTGCTCACCTTGTGTGCAGCCAGTCTCACTGCATGCCCTGCCCTGGTTGCTGTGTGAAGGCGTTTTCCGGTAACCGTAGCAGCAGGGCTGCAGGCGGGAGCATACACAGAGAGAAAAGAGACTAGGGAAGGAATGGGGGTGGGCTTGAGCATGGGTGGTGGCATTTCTCTAAGCCCAGCCCAAAGGATCCCCCTAAACATCAAGAGGGGAGCAGGAAAACCTGCAGAATTCTTTTTATCAATTATTTTTTAAATAGAATTACAGAAAGGGTGCTTGACCCAGAAACTGACTATTCCAAGATGAGTTACTTCACAGACCAAACAAACTCAAGTTGGCATTAGAATCACAGAATCATAGAATCTCAGGGTTGGAAGGGACCGCAGGAGGTCATCTAGGCCAACCCCCTGCTCAAAGCAGGACCAGTCCCCAACTAAATCATTGTCCCTTTAAGACCCAAACTGATCTTTCTCATTCGAGTAAAAAGGGAGCATTGCTAATGAATATGAGTCGAAAATCAAAAAGGAAATAGAGCTTTGGAAGAGAGAACCCTAGCTCAGCTCAGCAGAGAGACCCGTCTGGGCGAGTGGAAAGAAAACCCGTATCTGTAAGAATTACAGCTTGAGCTGAAATCAGATGACTTTGCGTATTCTTTTAGCACTCAGGGATGCAGTTCTAGTGCTCCGGTGTCAGTACTTGGCCATCTAGAACACAGTCCAGTGTAGACATTTTTTTGAATCCCCTTTCCCCGAGTCTGGTGGAATGCAGGCAGTCTCTGCCTGTCCCAGAGGTGGTGAGCCACCAAGCCGAGAAAGCAAAGCCACTGGGCAAGAGGGAGCAATAGCTTGGGAGGGTAGCTCAGTGGTTTGAGCATGGACCTCCTAAACCCAGGCTTATGAGTTCAATCCTTGAGGGGGCCACTTAGGGATTTGGGGCAAAAATCTGTCTGGGGATTGGTCCTCCTTTAAGCAGGGGGTTGGACTAGATGCCCTCCTGAGGTCCCTTCCAACCCTGATAGTCTATGAAGGAGACCCTCTTTCAGCTAAAGCAGTTTATTGACCATAAAAAGCTCTTTTCACTGTTACACCAGAGTGCAGGACTCAGCAGAAGAATGGGCAACCCTGAGCTGCAGGAGAGGGTGAAGCTACCTATGTTAACGTTTGTGGTCTGACACTATGGCACCAGGCACCACATAGATCCAGGTGAAATGAGCGGCAGTTCTGCCAGTAAACGGCGCGGTGCAGGGGGGCAGGATGAAAGATATTTCCTAGAGCAAATCCTCATGCATGTGAAGGGAACAGCCCCAACCTCTGCAGAAGCATGGAACCCAGGGGTCCCCCCTAGGGTCTGGGGCAGAAGGAAGCATGCTGTGAATGCACCGGCTGGCTGCTTTGTTTGGCCTCCCTCCACTTACACTGGCTCAGCACGTGCTGTGGGGCGTGCTCGAACCCATTGCCGGAGTTGACATTACATTTCAGTTGCACTGCAGTAGCGCTTAGGAGCCCTTTGTGCTAGATGTTGCATAGCACAGAACGGAGCGGTGGCCGCTGCCCGGACGCGCTGACAATCTAAGCATAAGACCAGAGTCGGCGGGCGGATACAGTCCGACAGGGAGAGCACTAGGAAACAGGACAGTATTGGTCACGCTAGAAATAGCCGGGTAGCCGCAGCAGCGTGGGCAGCGGGACGTACCTGCGGGCTTGTACTCCATGCCTCGGCCTGTGCTGTCACAGCCACACTTCTGGTTTGTGTGTGTATGTCAGCCAGAGCTGGGAACTCTGCCTGCGGCTCCGGCATAGACACATCCTGAGAGTCGAGACCGCTCCCGAAATGGAGCGGTTCAGCCTCAACGGCTGGCATTGGTTCAGGGATTTTGGCTGTTGCCTCCTCTCTGCAGTGTTACGGAGGGAACGAAGGGAAGAGCTCTCCAGGCTCCCTATACACCCCGTCTAGCCCTCAGAGACAGACCCCTTATCTCTTTGTACGTTCGTGCGCATGAAATGTCACGACTTTCCCCAGGTCTCCACACGCTCTCAGCGAAACTCTGTGAATTCAGTGTTGATGCAAAGCTAACTACAGAATTTCTGATGTGTACAGCCGGGGGCACCCAAAACATACAGCACAGTATGCAGGCACGTGTGTGTGTGTGTGGGGGTGCATGGGTGGGGGAAGCAGGTATGTTCTTTCTGTCCCTTTTTACTATATCTGTACATGCAAGGCCTGATTCTCTGATGTGCTGAGCACTTGCGGCTCCAGCTGAAGTCACTGGGGCTCAGCACCTTTGTAACAAACCTAGCATTAGTCCACATGGTTGGCTAGAAGAAATCACTGTTTTGGTTGACCTAGTAGACTCGCTGCTAATGGACTATGAGGACCGTCGTTCAAGACTCGGGTCTGGTAATGCACACGGTGCACCCACTGACTGGGGCCACTGCTGATGGCTTAGACTTGCTCAGGTCTTCAGGAGCAAGCCCAGGTCAGTGTGACTGGACATGCTGTTGGCTTTATTAACCTGCCAAATTCCTTGAAGACCTAGGAATGAGTTTAAGTGTCTTTGCCCTCGCCACAGTGTGGGTAAACCCACAATCTCAGCTAAAAACTGCATGCCACAAACGTTGGGCATGCAAAATGCAGATTTTGAGGCCAAGGTGACGCCACTTTAGGGAGAGATAGATCAGTTGGGGCAGGGATAACTCAGTGGTTTGAGCATTGGCCTGCTAAATCTGGGGTTGTGAGTTTAAGCCTTGAGGGGGCCATTTAGGGATCTGGGGCAAAATCTGTCAGGCACAGTACTTGGTCCTGCTGTGAAGGCAGGGGACTGGACTCAATGACCTTTCAAGGTCCCTTCAGTTCTATGAGACAGGTATATCTCCATATACACATGACACTTGGAAAATTAGCCCTTTTAAGTCTATTTCTCATACTCTAGCAGGGTTGGTCATCCTTTTTGTATGCTGTTGTGTTACCTAATAGTCAATCCTCTCTAGACACGTATACTTAAAAAGTAACCCACACCTATAGTCAAACAAAAAATCTAGATTCTGAAAGACAATCCAATCTAGCGATGCTCAATTCTAAGAGGCCAGAAAACAGTCACTAATATTGTGCACATTCCAGGGTTTGATTCGATTCAGACACACTCAAGCCCATCGGCATGCCTGAGTTTGCAAAGCTGTGAAACTGGCTTGCTTGATGCAGCTGGATATATGTATTAAATGCTGAAGGCATGTATTCAATCGAAAACTAGAATATTGGATCAAGACCTTGCGTACTGGATCCACCTATGACTCGAGTGACCAATTTCAAAGCTCCGACACATAATATCAACCCCAGACACTTAGTTATTTGTGATAGTTTTAAAATGTTTTCGAATACCAAATAGATTCACAAATGCCAGGAAAGATTCACAGATACTTCACAGAGCCAATCCCCCGCTGCCCTTCTCCAAGTTTATTGAATTCTCCCCAACCAGGTCTAATCCAGACAAATGCCTTGATCCCACAAGGGGATCTGATAGCATAGATCCATTTACCCTTGGGAGTCCAAGTCACTTCAGTGGGACTCCACACAACCATAATGGTCTGGGCTTGCCGATCTCTTTGCAGAGCTGAAGATACCGAAAGGAGAACTGAAATGGGAGGTGCTGTCTGCGGCATTCTGGCATTTGATGTTTTAAAGTGATGTGTCTTGTAGCATTTTTGTTGTACCACTTTGCAGGCCCTTATTAGCATGGGTCTAACTCCAGCCAAGACACCTCTCTGGTGCCCACGGTGTGTTGGGCAGGCTGCCCCGTTTTGACCTGTGTGATCCTCACAGCCATCTTCTCTCTTCCAGGCTCTCCTTATTATTACAGTGCTGCAGCCCGAGGAGCGGCACCCCCAGCATCTGCTGCTGCCTATGACCGCCACTGACCCAAGGAGTCTGGAACTCCAGCACTTACGAAACATATCATCCAGGCTGACGGCATCCGCTTCACCTAGAAATAACCATGCAAATCAGACTGCAAGGAAGGAAGACGAAAGTATCCAGTAGGAACCCGCTGGCTGAAATTTTACTCTTTAAACTGGGTGAACTAATTATTATTATTTTTTAAATCCATGAAATTCTGGCGATATTAACTGGGCTCTCACACAAAACAAAGAAACGGGAGAAACCAGTTCTGCTGCCGTTCCATCTGATTTGAAAGGTACAGTAGCTGCATCCTACACACAGCCTACCGATCTCGCTGCCTCTGGTTCTCTCAGCTGCGCCTGGGGACCGGAAGCTGTTCTGATTTTGAGCAGGCCAACTTGGAGTGTCTCCCTTAAGGTGCATTGACGCAGGCTGTGTGATTCAACATGAGCTGTCTGGCTTTTTTTTTTTTTTTTGGGTAAATAAGGATTGGTCTGCTCAATTTACACAGCACCAATGTAAATAACTTGCTTCCTTGTGTTACTTTTGAGAGTGGCTTCGCGTAAACAGCAACATGGTACAAATTATGAACCGAAAACGCATCTGAAACGTGTGTTTTCAAACCGGTGCACTGATTCAAAGAATTCAGTAAGCTTTAACCGACTTTGAACCAGGTTAACATTCATTGTGGCTATATTTGGGGCTGATGTTATTTCTATATACAGCGTCACATCTGACAGTCGTGTGTGAACATGCTACGAGCTGGCATGGAACACATGAGCAACGGAAAGACATGGGCAGTTTGTGACATTTTACTGCTAAATATTAATTTATGTTTATTTGTAATCATAACTAGCACTGAAACAAATTCTCTGCTTTCAAGTTAAACCGCATCAGAGAAGGAATTCCTAATTAATAACCAACCCCTTATGTACATCTATATAGATTACACGTGAACACCCAATTATTTCTATTTTGTAAAGAAATGAGAAAAATCCCAAGGTGATGATTTTTCAAATTGATATCTCAAACAATATTACATTCGGGGCCGCCATGCACACTGAAACATACAAACGCTGCTTTACAAATCAAACAGATGGGAGGGACACACATTTTGGGATACCTATATGTTTAAATGAAGACATTTCTCAAAGTCATTCCTTGTACACGGTGGGCTACAGTAAATCCATTCCATTGGAATCCATAAGGTTACACTGGGGATAAATTTGGCCCATTAATTCTGTACATTCCCCCTCCCTCTCAAAGAGAGAGCATTAATAGAACCAAGTGACATTTTGTTCAATGTTCTCTACTTCCCGGAGCTAATGAACAGAAGAGGGCAGCTTACAAATGATTGGTTAAGCTAGTACATCAATCACCACCAATTCCACAGAACCATATCAACACTCATTATTTCCCGAAGGAACAGCTTTTTTTAATCCTATATGATCAGCAAACTTCTCATCTGCACAAAGGGAAAATTAGAAGTGTTTCCACGGAAGACAATGGAAAACTCCCACTGACTCACATGGGCTCAGGATCTGCTCCATAGCCTTGCGCAGTGTTGCCATAATTAGTGTGAAAGGGACAAATTCTACCATCCTTACACTTGTGAGCACTTACACGCTGTAGTAATCCCATTTGGGTCCATGAATAAGGGTCTGGCCCAAAATAGGTCTCCTATAAGTGGACAATTGAAGTACAAATATTATTTCCAGAGTAATAACTTTTTAATTACAATTTTATCTTTGTGCTGCTTGTTCTGAATGGATGTCAGCAAATCAAATGGTAGCAATTCAGTGAGTTTTGGCTGCATGTTCCTTCCAAAACCTTTGTACTATATTTAGTATGTCTTCTGATCAGACTCGGAACGGAGACATCTCTAGTTTCCAAGGCAGATAGTCCCTAACTGGAGCCGGGTTCCTGCCCAGGAGTTTAGGTTAGTAAACACCCACATACCCACAGATGCAATGTTCAGAGGCTAATATGAGGGGGAAAGGAGTCCAGGAGCGCTGGCTATATTTTAAAGAAGGCTTATTGAGGACGCAGGAACAAACCATCCCGATGTGCGGAAAGAATAGCAAATATGTCAGGCAATCAGCTTGGCTTAACAGAGAAATCGTCGGTGAGCTTAAACCCAAAAAGGAAGCTTACAAGAAGTGGAAACTTGGACAGATGACTAGGGAGGCGTATAAAAATATTGTTCGAGCGTGCAGGGGTGTAATCAGAAAGGCCAAAGCACAATTGGAGTTCCGGCTAGCCAGAGATATGAAGGGTAACAAGAAGGGTTTCTACAGGTATTTTAGCAACAAGAAGAAGGTCAGGGAAAGTGTGGGACCCTTACTGAATGGAGGAGTGACAGATGATGTGGAAAAAGCTGAAGTACTCAATGCTTTTTTTGCCTCAGTCTTCACAGACAAGGTCAGCTCCCAGACTGCTGCACTGGGCAGCACAGTATGAGGAGGAGATGAGCAGCCCTCACTGGTGAAAGAACAGGTTAAGGACTATTTAGAAAAGCTGGACATGCACAAGCCCATGGGGCCAGATCTAATGCATCCGAGGATGCTGAGGGAGTTGGCTGATGTGATTGCAGAGCCACTGGCAATTATCGTTGAAAACTCATGGTGATTAGGGGAGGTCCCGGACGATTGGGAAAGGGCAAATATGGTGCCCGTTTTTTTAAAAAAAGGGAAGAAGGAGAATCCGGGGAACTACAGGCCAGTCAGCTTCACCTCAGTGCCTGAAAAAATCATGGAGCAGGTCCTCAAGGAATCCATTTTGAAGCACCTGGAGGAGAGGAAGGTGATCAGGAACAGTCAACATGGATTCACCAAGGACATGTCATGCCTGACCAACCTGATTGCCTTCTATGATGAGATAACTGGCTCTGTGGATATGGTGAAAGTGGTGGATGTGATATATCTTGACTTTAGTAAAGCTTTTGATATGGTCTCCCACAGTATTCTTGCCAGCAAGTTAAAGAAGTATGGATTGGATGAATGGACTATAAGGTGGATAGAAAGCTGGCTAGATCGTCGGGCTCAATGGGTAGTGATCAACGGCTCAATGTCTAGTTGGCAGCCGGTATCAAGCAGAGTGCCCCAGGGGTCAGTCCAGGGGCCAGTTTTGTTCAACATCTTAATGATCTGGATGATGGGATGGATTGCACCCTCAGCAAGTTCGCAGATGACACTAAGCTGCGGAGAGAGGTAGATAAGCTGGAGAGTAGGGATAGGTCCTGAGTGACCTAGACAAATTGGAGGATTGGGCCAAAAGAAATCTAATGAGGTTCAACAAGGATATGTGCAGAGTCTTGCACTTAGGAAGGAAGAATCCATGCACTGCTACAGGCTGGGGACCGACTGGTTAAGTGGTAGTTCTGCATAAAATGACCTGGGGATTACAGTGGAGGAGAAGCTGGATATGAGTCAGCAGTGTGCCCTTGTTGCCAAGAAAGCTAACGGCATATTGGGCTGCATTAGTAGGAGCGTTGCCAGCAGATCGAGGGAAGTGATTATTCCCCTGCATTTGACACTGGTGAGGCCACATCTGGAGTATTGCGTTCAGTTTTGGGCCCCCCACTACAGAAAGGATGTGGACAAATGGGAGAGAGTCTAGCGGAGGGCAACAAAAATGATTAGGGGGCTGAGGCACATGACTTATGAGGAGAGGCTGAAGGAATGGGGCTTATTTAGTCTGCAGAAGAGAAGAGTGAGGGGGGATTTGATAGCAGCCTTCAACTACCTGAAGGGGGGTTCCAAAGAGGATGGAGCTCGGCTGTTCTCAGTGGTGGCAGATGACAGAACAAGGAGCCATGGTCTCCAGTTGCAGTTGGGGAGGTCTAGGTTGGATAGTAGGAAAAACTATTTCACTAGGAGGGTGGTGAAGCACTGGAATGGGTTACCTAGGGAGGTGGTGGAATCTCCATCCTTAGAGGTTTTTAAGGCCCGGCTTGACAAAGCCCTGGCTGGGATGATTTAGTTGGGGTTGGTCCTGCTTTGAGCAGGGGGTTGGACTAGATGACCTCCTGAGGTCTCTTCCAATCCTAATCTTCTATGATTCTATGAAAGTAGCCATTATTTTTCCTCTTTTGACAATTAATAGTTGATAAACATTATTCAGTTTAAAAAGCTACATAACAGTGTGATGTGCAGCTCCTTTATTTGAGCAAGCAGTGCTCTCTCCTTTTGAGATATTTTTTCCAAAATCATCCTCTGAATCCTCACTAAATGTTGGGTTATCATTCGGCAGTAGGGCTGTAAAGGGAATTTTCTCTCTCTTGGATAAAGGTGACTTAGAATCCCCTCCAAGTGTCTTTGATTGGCATGTGCACTAACCTGCATGCACTATGAGCCTTCTGGAACATTAGGCTCTTTCAGTTCCCCAGGTGAAAGGAAAATGGTGTATCTGCAAATATACAGTTGCAAAGTATCATGGGAGTGCAAAGTATCATGGGAGTGATAGCTCCATAATGAAGGCTGAGTTGAATTATGCAGGTGTATGTCTAGAGAAATGTCATGACCAGACAGAAGGCTTACAAGTTTTCTTTCTCTCTTTACACTAGCCAGGTTACATGTGACTGGCTGCTCCTCTTCGAAGTTAAATAGTGCTGGTGCAGCTGTGTTGGTTCTAGGATATTGGAAAGACAAGAAGGCAATATCTTTTATTGGACCAACTTTTGCTGGTGAGACAGCCAAGCTTTTGAGCCTCCCAGAGTGCTTCTTCAGGTCTGGGAAACTAACTCAGAATGTCACTGCTAAGTACAAGGTGGAACAGATTGTCATAAATAGAGTGATGAAGGAAAAGAAAAATATGCACCATGGATTCAATTCCCCCCTGTACAGAGGGTCAGCCTGAGGACTACAAGTCCTGTTTGAGCTATATTTTGAGGGTGTCAGTGGCGCCTAGACCTCAGGCTGGCTCTCTGCTTTGGGGTGAGTTTCACCCACTACCTGGCAGACACGTGGTTTATTTATTTCATAGGAGTGACGTGTCTTGGAACGTTTAGACTAGTTTTGAT